ATCAATTACAACAGTTCATGGGACCAGAAAATTTTATCTCCATAACCGTCAAGCACGGTGAAACTCAACACACGTGATCAGTAATTTGATCATGTTATACAGTAAACTACATCATGTTTGACTCTTGATAAATTTGTACGAGCACTTCGCTCATCACTTTCTTAAGACAACGATTAATGCACGTGTAATAACCTCATAAATTTTCATCATTCGCAGAAGCGATACCGGAGGAGATATCCGAGGAGCTTTTACAGTTGCAAGGTTTGTTAGATTGCCAGAATCATGCTTCATCGATATGCATGTAGCTTGTTCCATAAAAGGCATACCTGGACTATATTTTTGATATCAACCAACCTCTTTCGTACTGTCGTGTCAGCCTTCTATCACAACTTGAAACGTCCATGTTAAGAGGTGGCCGTAGAACAAATTATACATACAGTGATTTTCCAGATATTTATATGAGGCAAATCAAACATGAAAATCCGATCGCCCATAGGCAACAAATGTGTTAATATTTACAAAAAGCATCCATGCATCAAAGTTTAGAATTTCGTTGTGCCCTGTAATAGTTTGCAATATGCTGACATGTCTCTTGATGCGGTCTGAAATGTTAATACCCCAATACACCAAAAAACTTTCAACCGGCGAACCAACTGAAGCCATCCAAAATATGCATAGCATAATATGGAAACGTCATAGAATAGGTAGTATCCTTCTGAGATATTTTGGCGAAGACAAAAGTAGGGATCAAATTAACGACAGAAAATGGCAGCGACAAAAATGCAAAAGGATAACACGGAGAAGCCATAATACTCATCCATGCATGTCCGACTCACTAGTTTGCCTAGATAGCTCCGGTGAAGTTGCCATCATTTAGAATGCTCAGCTCCGTATTTAGTGGCCATATGGATGTTTGTTATGCCCACGTACATAAATTGCGCATAGATAAAAAGCGTGTACCAGCAAACTCAGAGAACTACAGGTGTATATAATACCAGAGGTGGCATTGCGGAAAACAAGAACGTGCAAATCCTTTCCGGGTTGGTGAACGAAATATTGACGAAGACGCTATATATCTCGCGCTATATGTCCCGGTATGTAACGTAGCCAGGAGAGCACTACTCGGGTCTCGTCGATAAGATCGGCAACATTTATACAAATGTTGCCGATTCGTACTTGAAATTACTCTAGTCTAACCTTGCTTGCCGTGACGTGTGATGCTTTTTCATATTCTACGGCAAAATGGCAACCTGCAGATTTTGCCGCTGCTTGTTTGAAGCGGCCCAAATGTAATCTGCATTTAGTGTTCGGAAGATTAAAATCACTTTTGCTCCTACATGAAAATTGGATTGATAATTTAAACATCGCCATCATTGATGTTGCCACCTGATTTGTGTCCAAACAAGTCCTTTTGTCCAAGAGGTCTAATTCCGCTGCCGTCTTATTGTCACGAACAATTTACCTATAGATTACTGCCTGCATCAGCATTTTACATTGTTTTTTTCAGAACAAGATCGGTTCTATCATATCATGCGCATTGTTGCTTTTCTAATTTCAGGGAATATCAAATCTTACCTAGATAGTTTAAAAGGTATGTGTTTCTCGGTTGGTTGCGCATCTTATTTAGGTTTAGTCGAGTCGGATGCGGGACGCATTTCGTGTTCCCATTTTGTGATTTACATGCTACCATTCTAAAAACTAATTTTTTACCTGTTCCCAAATATTGGGAGGAAACGCCATTGCACTAGGCCCGGTAGGGCGCATTCTAAGGGTTCTTGAGTTTCAAACCTCAGGGGAGAGGCCTGCCAAACGAGGAGTGTGTAACACAACAAAATGGAACGCAATGTCAAAAATTAGCTTTATACAAATTAAATCCTTCATTGTCCATCAAATTAATTCCTAAATGTATCCTTGAACACCACCTATGCCGGTTAGCACGCTCAAAAAATTAACATTGCCTCCCCCGTTGAAACGTGAGCTGGGAAACATCTCATTCAAAGAGATAGAACCCATGAGTTTTTTTAAATCTGGCCTGCCTTTCACAAATGAATGAAAACCGTTGATTGCGGATATAAATGTGATTGCGAATGTTTGAAGTAGATAATTGGAGTGACATTGAGATCTCCATCACTATGTTGATACCGCACATTATGGGGTCCTAAACGATGTGAAAGTTTCGCATTTTAAATGTTTGCGCTGATGTGACTTTGAAATATTTATGTTAGCCTCTCGTTATTAGTTGCCCATTTGAGTCATCCTGGGGAAAAACTTCATTAACCGTCTGTCCGCTGATATATTTTACCCTTCATACTTTCGAAATATGCTCGAGAAACGTGTCTTTTCAATGACAATAAGACCTAAAAAAACGGGAAGTGCATTTGCCTAAAGCGACTAGAAAAATCGTGTGGTGAAGTGGATGTTTTAGATACGTTTTCTCTAACACTATCGCGCTGGGAATAAAGTAGTTTACCGGGGACATTTGTAGCTATTTCATGTAGGCTTTCGTAATATTTCCTCCGGAAGCTAGATGTAAACCAAGGTATTCATGCCGATTTTAATCTCTATGGCAAAATGCGCTGCTATATACTCCGCGATATCAAGCGGATGTCCATTACAATCAACCAAATTCTGGCGATTCGATGCAGTGGTTTTAAACTTATCCCTAGTGAAAATTTGTGAGAGGACGGTAAAAGACTGGTGACAATGAAATTCCATTCAACCTACCGCTACTGCATGCCGCGAAATTTTGATGCGTTAATTGGTGAATGGACTTGAGCATCTCTTTCTGAATTTGACTTTTATAAAGAATGTCGTAAAATTACTTTTACCTATTGAATTTAGACAAGCTTGAAACATTTTTACAAACATTAGAAAGTGAGTAATTTCTAAATAAATGTTTTTTATCGGAACAAAACAACATGGAATTACGCAGTTTGCGTTTAAATATGGACTGAAGGGCACCTTTTGGGGAAAATACAAGGTTGATCGTGGCTCGATATTATTCAGGCCGCCTCTTTCTTTTGAGCTGCCTGACACAATAAATGATAGATACATCAAGACTCGTATACCAAGATGCCAGAATTTGAAAATAAGTCGTCACAGTTTTATTCTGGCAGATTACCCCGAAAAATAAATCGCGTAGGTTTTTTTGCGGTCGAGTGTACAGTAAATGTGATCAAATGTTAGCTCAATTGAGTTCAAATGAAGTCCATCATGTAGCCGGTCCATCGAGACACTCATGGAAATATTACGCTGATGCACTAAATATTTTCAAATATGCTTTATCCTACCTTTGCATTACTTTGAAAAAGGGAGCATTGATTCTCCGTATCTGTTTTGTTGCTACTTTAGTAAGGACACTGCTACTCACTGCGCAAGAAACTCTGTGGCACAGTGTTTTACGCCAGCTAAGTTCAGCTCAAGTTCTTTGGATAACTAAAACTATTTCGCACTTTTGAGAGTTGCCAGTAACTTGGTTGTCAAAATGAAAATGGATTTTTAGATGCACATTGGCGTGAGCTTTCGTGTTGATATGCTGACTTAAGAAACATACGTATACACCAAAATTCTCAGAAAAAACACAAAACCGCNATAAATTACATATTATTTTAGAGTGTAACAATGAAAGGGTAATCAACTGTTCGTTGTCTTTCGTTCTCGAACTTGTGTATGACCGTTTTTATAAATCAGGGTTTTTGGCCACACAATAACTTAATGATTCCATTTCCTACAGAAGCAATAAAGGAGCTTGGAGGAAAATGGAAAGGTTCGTGTGTTCATTTTATCAGGTTGATTTGTTCCAGACACAGACCTTAATATTTCGCACTGTGTTTTATAATGAAGTAAACTTTGAACACATAAATTCCTCGTTCACTAAAACCCTTATTGTTACCTGCAGATCCGATCCATAAGTTTTCATTTTTTTGAAGAGGACACACTCCGAGATTCCCCTGAGATATTTGTTTGAGTGACCTGCAACTCCCCCTTAGCATTGGGTATTTAGCACTACGCTTACTATGCGCGGCCTGCAGTGCGTCCTCTTTAACTTATATCTGTACAACTGGAAGATGCATATAAGTGCATAATCATATGCGAATCCCTATTTAAACGAATTTTAGGGTTCGCATTTCTTAATGTGGAAGTAGTATGAAATATATGCTCACGCAAAAGATACACCGCCATCTACTCAAGGCAGTTAAGGAAACCGAAAATATCATATATTTCTATACAGTTTGTTGTACAATTTATACGTATTTTATGCGTATCCATAGTTCTTGGAGGAGGCTGTACAGATCATTCAATATTAATCAGGCATGGAGAATTTGAGTGTAAACATCTGCAACCACTGTCTGAGTTTGTAGCCAAAATAAGCAGTATCCTTGTCACATTTTGGGCGCTGTCACAAGAACAATTTGCGATTTCCTTGGAGCGATTGATTTTATTAGTTTAACATCCGCAGTTGGCTTTTATTTGTTACTTATGAAGCTCTTGTGTTATCTACAGTTGCTGAAGAGAAAACCAAACAAGAGTTGTCAGGTACCGTCTCTTTATAGAACAGAACTGGATTTTTTGAGTAATTCCTTGTAGTTAATAATTCCTAGTAACTTCCTTAGTAATTCGAAGGAATCAATGCCGTTCGTTGCCTTCCAAGAACTAGTGGATGCAATACACTCTCCACTCTCCACCAAGCCACCACATGGTTTCACCACAAGACCAACGGAGCTAGTCAAAACACTGAAACCTTAAGTGGCAGTATGGCAAATACATCATCAAAAATAATATCTAGATATGCTAAGTAACCAGAGTGCAAGCACGTAGGAGGTTTAAAAACGACAATATAATTGTACCTTTTTGGCGCTTCCAAGCAATGGCATTTTGTGTCTGAGTGTGAAATGCTAGCGATGGTTTAGCGGACCATACAATATGATTTTGATTTTGTTTGCTTCTTAGCTGTCATTTTTAGTAAACCCACGTCATTTCCACTAGATTATCTCATAAAAGAGAACTGGTCCTAGAAATCGTTCAACAGCAGGCGGATCCTAATTTTCCTGTGCAAATTATTTGTGGTAAATTATACTCGTTGACAAAGGTTGACCAATACTTACGGTTGGAAGTAATGATTGAGAAAACGCGGGATATCTTATAATCCTTGATGATTAGCAGCGGACGCAGAGAGACAAATATTTCATTCGTTCAGAGATATGTTCCGTTACAGAAGAGTTTGATGTATAGCACACAAATGTCAAAGATCGAATACAATTCGGCGAAAGTTACTAGTGGTTTCAGGGTTTATTGTCTATCACAAACCTTTGTCAGTTTGTGTGTAATCACGTGCCTATTTGTATTTTTGAAAGCAAAGCTACTGAGCGAATTGAAGCAAATAGAAGGTATGGTTCATTTTATACCTGAATTTTGATAGACAGTTTTGGGAGAAAGAGAATCATTTCCTCCAAATTCAGTTGCTCATGTTTTAGAAGGAATAATATCTACGTTTTTGAATGAACAAGGCTTGGTTAACTAAAAACAGGAGCCGAGGGTTTTTCGTGATGTATATTTTGCTCGTAAGTAAACTACTCTTGTTTCAAAGGTCGCCGTGTTCCGGCGTATTTGTTATGAAGTTTTTACTCAGAAGAAAGCACGGAGCATAGTTTTTGCTCTTGTAACAGCGCATCTGCTGTGCGTATTCTAGGGCCCTACCGGGATTTGAACTTTGGACATCAGACATACGAGACAAATACGTTTGTAGTGCGCCACAAAAAAGTTAGACGCATTTCAGAATTCAAGACTAAAGAGACAAATACATTACCCTTGGGTGGTGTCATTGGTGTGCCAGCCTCACTGAGCGATGACCGAGTAACTGTCCTGGGTGTGACGGCTAATGATATAAGGCATACGTTCACAAAATGTATACAAAATGAAGTAGAGATCGGTAACACAAACTGGCCCATACTTTAAAACAAAACCATAAATATGTTGAGAATCAGACGCTAGCTGATTAAAAGTCTTTGTGGATCAGTTGGAAATTTAAATATTCTCAGTAATTTAGAATTTTCAGAATACAGATATTTTGACCGCTTTAGATTGGTTCTGTAGAGTATGGGGTCCACTGTTTCAAGTCAACATTCTGTGAAGAGCTGGAGGATTATGACTAGGAGCCGTAGACTTTAATAAATTTTATTGGACGCGCAACGTTTCTGTTACGCGAAGTGACGTTCTAAGGTATTAGTTTAGTTTATATAGAAAATGACTGGTTATATGAAAGATTTGAACACACTGTCAAACCCGAGGTCTAGCATGTAGCAACGCCCTGATTTTCTGACTAGTCGGCTTGCACTTATCACTAGCAAAGTGCACCATAAACCAATACCTACAAGATATCGTCGCTTAGCTTGGCTTGACCTTTAACGTGGCCACGCTTTGCATCTTAAGCTTAACTGCATACGTGTTATTTGTTATTTGTCAATGTTGCTTGAGATTATTGATCAGCAAAATCGTTGGCGCGGATTCTGCGATGACTATGCAATTACGTGGGCAATGATGTCGAACGCAAAGCAGAAGGTTTTCAAATATCCAATGGGAGATGGATAATTTTTACAAAGGGGACAATAGTAACAAACACAGTATGGATTTCATTAACTGGATGTGTAGAAATTTTTTCTCATCTTGTGGTACTATAAGTTACACATGTTGCATACAATTTACTTGCGGGTACTTTTGCCTTGACTGTGTGAGATTATATTGACTGCTTTTAGTACTGTGTGGAATCCATCGCTCGTTCCACCTCATATAGAACAAATTACCAAACATTTGTCGGGGCTTATCTGATCTGTGTGTTTTGTATTATCTTGTTTGAACTTTGTGCAAAACACCAATCTAATTATATCTTTCTTGGAACGACGGAGATATCCAACTTGTTTTGAAGCTGAAACGATTTACAGTCAGAATTTCATCCTAATCGCACGAACGGTTAGCCATGTTGAAGTGGCTGCGGACTATAATTTAAACCTATATATTATCAAACTCGGCACATGAATAACAGTGTAAGCAGTGTAAAAACCCTGGAATTCCATTACGATGTTTTTGGAAATTCTCTCGTATTATAAAAATTGCTCTTTCCAAGCAGTTTGTACGTCTAAAAATTAAACAAATAGATAATTAAAATTAAATGAAACGTTAAATGAGCTCTAATTTGATTTTGGCTTATTTATGCAGCTTCAATTACTGAAGGGATATNAATTTCTGGACGGATATCATTACTGGAAGGTTTGGTTATTTTTTCACTTTGTTTTAATTCCTGTAAACTGGGAGTGTAAACTTTGCGGATGTTTTTACGCTAGTTACACCTGAAATAAAATGCGTTTACTCATATAGACGATGCAATTATGGGTAACGGTGTTTTTTATATCTGATTGCTAATCAATTTTCACGGTTGATCGATGCAAAATTGGATTGTAGTTTCCTGCCAAGCTTAATTCGTAACATTTTCTATTGTATTTTCTGTATCAAATATGCATGAGAACAGTGGGATATCATTCAGCATTGAAGTCTCGACAATTAAGATATAAAATATATGAGAGCCTGATAAAGTTCGAGAAACTATCTTGAGCAACTATCTCACAACTTGCTGATCCCGGCCAACACAGAATTATAATAAGAGGGCTGACACAGTCAAGCCGCCGTGTCCGTTACAGCGACGCTTGATGCCACAAATCAGTGCAAAAAACATACGTGAGAGTCAAGTGCAAGAAATTTATGGGATCTTTGCTAAGTTTTTCAATCAGGGAATAGTAATATTTTTTCTATCATCCAGTACTTTATGAAATGTTGTTTCGCTAAGCAGTAAGCACGCATATTTTTAACGCCAATAACGCATATATGTGTTCATTGGCAACAACGTGCGTCACCTAGGTTCATTATTTTTCGAATAACATTGCACTCTAAATACACGGGTTAGCTGTTATTTATTTGATATTTTTTTCCTGCCTTGTGTATTGTGTGTTCTTTATTTTTTAATGGTTTCTTCAATAAATTTCACAGCCCACCAGACGGAAGCCAAAGGCGCAGCGGCACGTAAGTTTCGTTACAAGCTTCAGTGTGTGGCAGATCTTGTGATGGAATTTGCAAAATCAAACCACAAGCACTCTAATATTTTCGGAGTTTTCATTGCGATATTTGTTCGCAAATTCTATCGCATCAGTCTATTGAGAAACAAGCATCATGAAAAAAGGATGAGGTAATTTGTAAAAAATGCCGCGTTTCCGAGCAGCGCCAAATGAATGGTGTGATATGGAGCACAAATTCTTCAGTAGTGAAATCACAGAACGGGTCACTTTTGCAACAATAATATATTCTGAGATCGGACCCGATCACAATGAATTTTTTGAATAAATTCCCTTAGCCAGATCAACTAAGATCACTAAGCAGCTTAAATGTCGTTGGAGCCACCTTGTATTTATCCATATATATATTCCCCAACTGAAAATGCATTGCGGTCTTTTAGGTTTTAAAATCGATGAAAGTTCAAACCAGATTTGTAGCCGATTGCGGCCTATGTCAATGGCAGTTGGAGGTGAAGTCGAACGAGGTTGCAATGTGCTTCCTTTCTACTTGTGTTTTATGGGGTTGCTGTAGTGTCCAAATATAGCTGTCGAACATTATGAGGCTGGATATCTGCATTATTTAATCGTTTCTCAAGCATCATTTCACTTTCAAGAGTCGTTTAGCTTAGCGCAAACTGTTTTCTTTTCAAAAGTATGCAATAACTTCACAATGGCTGCGCCTTTTAACTAAATTTCCAGGAGAAATATGTAACTGTACGTCTTGAGCTTGCCTTGTGCCTTAACAATAATTATGTAGTTGTGTGTAATTTAGCTACAATAAAACAGATGAATATAATGTACTTTAACTTACGTGGTATTAGATACGGTGAATTTTCTATATTGCACAGAAAAAACAGCGTTCGCTTCCTGATCTCATTTCCAAATCACTAACACTAATTCTATAAGTAGAAATGTAACGTTTATCAGTTGTTAAATTTATTGACACCACGCCATCAAGATGTTACAAAAAACTATTCAATTGGCCGGCCTGAAATATATTGAGAACAAGCTAACCACCCGAACAATGACCTCCACTAAAATGGCGATTGGCCTAAACTATGGAAAAATGTCCGTTCAAAGAAAGTCACACAGAAAAGTGTTCAAACCTGAACCAGATATATTTTGGATATCTGTGTCCAACGAAGTATATTGTACCAACTTTGTGATGCAACACTTAGCTTAGTTGGTCACAATTAATTAAATTACATTTCTTTCGTAAATGTCAAGTGATTAAAATGAATGCGCCCCAAAAATTCAAGGAAAATGCTATAAGATATTCTAGATGCAAGAAAAGAAAAAAACAGAAGCAATAACCATCCTTCAACCTAAAGCGTTTGGAATATGTGGTTGCTCTAAGTGTATTTATTTTATTTTTCTACAACCAACAGTTTACGTTCTTGGCACACTTCAAGCTATTAACCGTATGAATCTGTAATA